AGCTGATTTGCTTAGTTTTATGTATATATGTATGCAGTTATCGGTTTTTTCCTTTTTTTTGTAAGAAAAATCTGTTAAAATACCTTGTATTGAGAATTCTATATTGTACTGAAATTATAATATTGATAAAGCCATCAATAGTGATAATAATAATTGATATGAGGGGATTAAAAATCAAAATTACGATCTTTTACTGATTGTGATTTTTGTTCAGTATTACTTCAGTTTTAATTCAATGTGATAATTTCTCAGAGTAGTATTTGTTTTTGGTTTCCAATGTGATATTTTATTTTGTATAATACACGATATTCTTGTATTTAATTAACATGAACTATGGTTAGCATGACACGCAGTATGTGATTTGTTATAACTCTGGACATTTTTCATATATGTGATTTGATTCTAATTCATAATCGAAATGGATGTACAATCAATATATAAATGAGTGTATTTTCGACTAGGGTCGTCGTCGTGTATTGGGTCTGATAAATCTTCACTTGTGCCAGTTTTAGTGTTCTTATTCTCATCATGGGGTTTCGTAGTGGTTCCTCCTTTTACGAGTGTAAGTAATGGATGATCGTGACGTGGTAATTAGTGATGACCAGACATAATAATTAACGACCAGTCATAACAATAATTAATTAGAAAAGTGTCTTTCTATGTACTTTTATTTTCTTTCATATATCTTAAATCTTTACGTTATAGTTCAGAAATAATTCTCTAAACGAAAGTAATAATAAAAAATAAAAATCTGTCAAGTACGTATTTATATAAGCTATTATTATTACGTAACATGGACCTTTTGTAATAAGTAATGGAAATATCATTGTAAAAACATACTCTTATTTGAACTTCATAGTCATTTGATGCGAGATAAATACAATAAAAAAATAACACAAACACAATAGCAACAACAAAGGAAATGGACTATAGAATGAATTAGAAAAAAATTACTAACTGTTTATGGTTTATATTATTATCTCCATTGTCTTACTATTCTATCTGTGCCATTAATAGACGAAAAAAAAAACAAATATAACTTCTGCATATGTAAGCATGATACGTACTTAAGATTCTATGTAAGTAAACAGTATACTGTTAAAAACAAACATATTCGTTAGGGCAATAAAAAAATCCTTATTCTATGTTGAATTAACTAACTACAGGGGACAATTTTAAATAAATAAAAATATCTTATTTAAGTTATATCCATTGAATGTTTATTTTTATGACAGGAGTTATTAATGACTAAACCATTAGTCATTCAGAAATAAACAACTTCAGATTTTGTAAATGTACAATTTTTTACTTAGGATAGTTTTATCAACCTCGTAATTTTAGTATAATAAATATCTAAAACTTTAGTTGTCGGGTTAAGAAAAAAAATAATTAAAATAAATGAACAGTGGTAGCAGAGCTATGTATATATTATCCGAACAAATTTAGTGCTGACAGATTATTCTGTTATAATTTAAAAAGGAACTATAATAGCTCACTTATTTCTGAACTATGTACTAATGATATTGTCTAAATATACACGTGGAGCTTCATGATTAAGTGATCCAATTGGGAAAATGCTAAAACGTCTGGGCTACCTGTTCTGGCCATCTAGATATTTGTTTTTGTACGTTTATGAAAAGTTTAAAACTTTTCTCTGTATAGGCATTGTGCAACGAAAAGAATCTATATTATTCAGATGTCGATTCCTGAACTGCTAACATCTAATTGAATATCACCCAATATTTATCGTCAGGATCAATCAAGAAATAAGAAAAAAACTTGTTGAAATACTTTGTGCTAGGAATTCTATGTTGTACTAAAAATATAATATTGAATAAAGCTATTAATAGTAACAATAATAATAACGATAATAATCACCTTTGGATTTAGTTATCTTAGTTCAATCTATTAAGTTCTGTGTTTTATAAAAACCAAAGATGATTTTCATAGATAATAGTCTATGAATAATGAATATTTGTATATTCCAAGATTGATATTTCTGTGAAACATTAAATTTTGATGAGTTTAAACCCATGCGACGTTGATATTACATAAAGTTGAAAATAAACGGTTGATATGCGGATGGTTCTGTTTTCAGTTTCTAGTTTTATACGGTTTATTACAATGAGACATGACTAATAACTGGACAGCTGTATTTTACACAATCTACTATTCACAGTAGTGGTAAGTTTGAATCAAGATTCTCTTAGTTGTAATTCTTACAATTTAATTGTTTTCTAGGTTGAAGGATTTCCTAGATATCTGTCACAAGAACTACACTATTCCTGTTATATGTGTTTAATATCGATTTTACAACTAAATGAGTTGTTTTCTTTCTCTTTTGTTACCTGAATGAATTATTTTTCGAGTTAGAGTTCGGACCCACCCGAAATAATGTTTATGGATGTAGAATACTGTTATCCTACTGACAGTCAATAATAAGGACATGAACCTTGGAACTTTCACTGCTAACAGAAACTGTTAGTATTCCAAACGATATCAGAATGATCTATTTTTCTTGCCTCATGATTTATTAAAACTTCTGAAATGTTTATGATACGTATCTCTTTGATTATGATTAAAACGCCTTAAGATATTTAGATTAATCATGTATTTATATTAGTTAACACTTATGAACAACCTATTTTATTTAGAAATCAAACTACCGTTAATGTATTAGGAGACAGGACTGGTTTACTGACTTCTCCGATATTGACTTAGCATCATATTATTAAAAGTGAAATACGTAACATTAATCTTACTGTTAATTACCAGAAAAACAATTACCCCTCTGTTAACGAATCATCTCATAAATTGTCAGTTGACTTTGCTGGAGGATATATTAAACATCCGTCTAAATGATTGGACAATGAGTTTAGTATTTTCTGTTCAACAACAAATTCATTTTCAAATTTATGATAACTATCACAATTTTAGACTAATTATCTTTAATCAACTGAGTAGAACCCGAAAAATCTTTTAATACAGTTGATAAAGATTGATAAAGCTTGTCATAGTTTTAATGAGACATTAAATTTGAACCTTATGTTTTATAGAAATTGAACGATAGCTAACTAAATCACATAAATTTAAGCTTTTTCCTCTGTCTATCTCAACACGTAATATATTTATTTCATATTTATGTTCATATTTACTGTAGAATGGATTAAATGTGCTATTTTCTTAATTTTAATTCAAAGTTATATCATTTAAGATAATGTTGAAACATTTTATTACTATACATCTGAGAGTTTCATTTTGTAATGATGTTTTTACAACATAATTAGTTATGTTTTAATTGTATTTTATTTAATATAATTTAATAATAACATTGGAGAATACCGGGTCATAAGAAGACCTTAATAAAATGTGTTCTGATTTGAGTAGGTGGTGGAAAACCATCATTGTACTTAATAGAAATGTAACTAGTTGCCATATATATGTATTTTTATCTAATCTTTTAAGCCATCCCTTTATGATTAAATCATATTCTTTCGGCGAATAACATATTAAATTTTTATAATAATAAATTTACATTCATCGCTTATATCGTAGTAAAGGAGAACACAGGTGAGGCAACCGAATTATATTCAGCAAAACATTACAGAGTTACTTGGTAAAATAGAAAAACTATACTATAATACCTAATTTGCAAAATGTTCAATAATTGTCGCGGACTTCATTATTCTGGCATTTCTATACTAATTGCTTTCTTCTCCTGTTCTTTCTTTCTTGATCTTCCCAATCTTCTGCAGCCAGACATTACATTCCTGACTCGCATTATATACTACTTATATCAATATAAGTAGCACGCACCACAATATACGTCAATTTCATTTAATATCTAAATAGTTGATTTCTATTTCATGTTAAATTCAGTTGAAGTTTTTTTCTTTTACTGGTTTGGAATTTTGGATAAGCAAATTTATTTTTAAAAATAAATATATTTATTTTAATTTTTAAATTCATGTATATATTAGTTGTTTCAATCTTCCCATAGATGATTGGGACTGTGATTGATCAGTCTGTTTTAGAATATATGCATCCTGTGCGGATTGCTTCGATACTACCAGTAAGTCACAAGTATTTTAAGCAGAGACAGATAAACTCAGTAAGTGAGAGGATAACGTTGTGACGTATGAAATGAAAAGTGATAGGTCCGAACCTCAAATTGATGAATATACATTCAGCTGAAGAGTCCCAAATAGAACGAAATGTGCGTCTGGTATTCTGTTGCTAGCCACCACTCATCTCTGCCTAAAGTATTTATTTCAATATAATAAATCTTTTAGCTCAAGTTGCTAAAATTTTGTTCTTTTCTCTTTTTTATTTACACCGAAAAAAAAATCATTTTATTAGCCATACGCGATCATATGGACAATAATCATCAACCAGCTACAAGTGATAAAAATAATGATATTAATAATAGTAATAATAATGAACAGAAAGAATCCAGACTTCATCTTCGTAAACTGCATACAGAAAGTGGTGAATATGAATTGGGCTCACTTGCTGATGTTGTTTCAGAAGAAAATTTACATTCTATTAGTTATAAAATAGATTCCACAGAACATACAACTATTAATGTTTATGAAAAAGAGGAAGAACAACGCTTAAATAATGTCGGTCAAATCAAATCAAACAAAAATACCATGAAATCAATTCGAAAATGTTTCAATAGTTTACCAGAACATCGACATGGTTTAGATTTAACAAAAAAATCAGTTAAAACGCGTCCAGAAATCCCACTTCAATGGTCATCATTCCATAATGATAAAAAATTATCTCTTGAAAAGAGTGTCACTCCTACTAATACTACTACTGCTATACATCAAACTGAATCGAATGAAGCTCGTATTTCATTTAATTTAGATGATTTGTCGAAAATATATTTGAACAGTCAGAAATTGGCCAATATGCAAACACCACTAAGTAACACTACTGTCACGAATACCACTTCTACTACCATCACTGATAATAATGACAATAATGGATAACGAAAGCTACTAATGGTAAAATGTCAAAAGATTCATTTTCAAATGGTCATAATAAAACTGATATGAATAACTATGATACATTAAAGAAAAAAGTATCTCTTAAAGAGTTTATTGACCGTAAAAGTTCTAGTAAAATTACACAATCTGAATCATTCAATTCCCATAGTCCAATGGAACAAATTCGTTATTGGCGTTCAATTGCAGCAGTAGCTCAAGCTAATGCAGCAGGTCAATTAGCTAAAACTGAGAAATTAACTCAAGAATTAGCTAGATTACGTTGGGACTTGAGTATATCACATATGGAAAATAATTTATTACGTCAAAATTTAGCATCTGTTCAAGCGGAATTAAATCATGTTCGTCAAATTCCTAAAGATATTACAAATTATGCACAGCATAATGAAAGTATACATCCAGCATTATTTCCTTAGCTCACATGATATTTGATATGGTAGAATATAAAGGGGAGGGGAAACAACTTTCTCGAATCTTCCTTAATATTGTTAATCTCTATACAAAATACTAACTTAAATTCACACTTACATGTATGTGTATGCACTTACAATGTTCTTATTTTTCTTTAAAAAGCACATTGAGAATGAGAGCAATAATGTTAGCATCATTGGTATCATTTATTATTCTCCTGTTGTTAATTATTCATTGCTAAATAACGAAGTTACTACCTTAAATTTTTTTAAAAAATAAAGTAATCAACGTGACATTTTTCTTTTTCTTTCTGTAAACTATATAGATTAACTTTCTGGTTGATTCTTTACCCTCAAAATAAAATAATAAAGAAATACATGACGTAGCTGTAAAAAACAAACTGAGCTACATTTATGTTTTTTTTTATTGGAATGGAATAGATACAGTTAAATAGTGGAGAAAGATAAATACATTCATTATTAAAACAAATTAATTAATACTGTAAATTATGTTACACTGACTGTATATTATATCCTCTTTTTCATTTATTTATAACAATAAAATTCATAAATAAATGCTGCAATAGTAATGTTGATAATAATAATAATAAAGAATAATTAAAAAGAAGTATGAATCTAATTCTTTCTTCTATATATACGAGTTTACTTAAACAAGTTATAATTTATTAATTATTTGTAACTATGAAGTTATCTAATCAAATAAAAGATTCAGTACGGTTGATATGATCACTTTTATACTAACTTAAAGCGAAAAAAAACAATATGATGGGTTTGAACAGAGTTTTATAAGGAAAAAAATTTAAATCATATACAATTCGATTCGAAATGGATCATGATTGAAATTGAATCGTTTTCGTAATGAATTCAGTAATAGTGAAGTTAGACGCAGGGTATTAGGGAATGATGGTAAATCAGTTGATGAGGTCGTGAATCTTCATCGACTGAGGTGGGTGGATCACGTATTACCCACGCTCAACCACCGATTATCACGACAAGTAATGCTGACAAGTGTTAGCAACGGATGGAAGAAAGTTAGGGGCGGCCAAACCAAAACATGACATCAGTCCTTGAAGTCACTAACATCCGGTCTAAGCGGTGTTGGTAGATGCAGAATACTTGTTTGAGGTCAGTGCGACTATTGTAACTAGTGGTTGTATACTCTGGGTGACATAATTCAGAATCGATCACAATGGCGTAGGTGTATACACTCTCCGTCTCCCTTTAAACCGTGGGATTAAAATTACTTTATAAATCTCTTTCTATGAACTAATTCTTTCTCCCTGTACTATGTCATTATATCCAATCTTTCTTTATAGATTACCACCACTGAATTACCTACTATGAATCCGGTGTTCATCTTGTTGTGCTAATGAGGTGTGGCAACTTGGACCAATGCACATATGTGCCTGGTTCTACGTTGTAGCTGACTGACTGACACAGTTTTATAAAGTCAAACTAAATTCTGTTGATAGACATAATATTTAACTTTACCAAGTTAAATATTTTGACAAAAAAAACAGATGAGTTCATACAAAAATGAAATAAGTATTTGATTGATCCAAGAGTACTTTGTGTAGGTCTTTATCAACATGCATTTTAGCATGATCTAAAAGGAGAACATTCGTAAAACACAACATACCTTTCTAGTCATTAAACAAAAAACTTTAAAGTAAGCAAATAAATATAAACCAAACGGATCTGTCTAATGGAGTAATCAAACTTCATTCGGTTTTTTAAAAAGGAATTTGCGATAAATCTGATTTACTGAACAAATTTATGCTTATAACGTTGGCATTTTATATTATTTAAACTGGGAAAACAGTTATTATTTCCATCAGACGGGTATATTTGTTATTTTACTTTAAACAGCATAAATATTTTTTGGCCAAACACACTACGAAGTGACTAAATATAGATAACTGGTAAAAATCAGGAAATAGTGAACAGATGTTTGGTCCCTTAAATGGGACACATTAGCATTATGCAGTCACGGCCCTATCAGAGATTGAATCCATAATATTCAGGTCTTGTAAACTCTAGATCATTAAATTAACACCCAGTGGCTTGAATTTCCATTTTCTATTAATTGGTAATATAGTATGACTATCACAAATTGTCACTAATCACCAGGAAAGATCATGCTCTCCAATTAGAATTATGAAATTTCCAAAAACTTTAGTTATAAATGAGCACGTCAGTGTTATTAGTAAGGAACGTTTGTAGAGATAATTCACTTTTAGTTTGTACTACGTACTAGTATAACCTGTACGTTGTTTATCAATAAGATAAGTAATCAGGTTGTAAACATATTCAGGTATATCCATCTAATGACATGTAAATCGAACTATTAAATGTTCCGTACTTAACGACTAGTTGTCGATAAATATATAGTCATGATATCATTACTAGTAACCTCTACTACTCAACAAGATTTACCAGATTTAGTCCACTGAGTCAACAAGGAATAAGTTATATTTTCTCTGTAATAATTGTTAACTATAGAGCAAGTTGTGACAATTATTATACAGGCATTTAAGATTGAGTGTTTCAGGTTCGAGGATTAAATAAAGCAACAGTATGAAAGTAAAAAATATCTAACTACCAAGTTATAAAGAATAATGATTTCATCAAAAATTACCACTTCTTTAAACCAAAAAATAAGTTTAGTATAGCAGTCGTGGAGATTATTAAGTTTTTGATTGAGATCATAAACCGATTAATGTTAGACCACCGCTGAAGAAAGCCTGGATGCACTGGATCGTAGTTTGTGGGACTCCTCATCAGAACGCACCCACGATCCAGATTTCCAATGGTGGTCTGACATCAATCGGTTCATGATCTCAAACAAAATCTAATAATCTCCATAACCCATATACTGATGATTACCACGTGCTCGCTAGTGACTAGCTTCTTGGGGGAATTCTCGGAGTTCTAGTGAGAAGCCGTGACTAGTGAAGCTAATCCATGTCAGGTAGATACAGGTATCTACCTCAGCACAATGCTGAGGAGTCCCACAATAGGACGAAACGGCCGCTCAGGGCTTCCAGGTTTTCAATGGTGGTTTAACATCAATCGGTTCCTGACCTCAATCAAAAAATATCTCTTTGTAAGTCCAACACTATTCCTAAAGTAAATTAAACGAAACAAATGTGTATTTATAAAAAGGATTATTTTTTAATCATGTACATTAATGAGTTTTAAGCACATTTCAACATCGATCAGTCAAAGAAAATTTGATCAATCGGATGTAACATCTAAACGTAGTTGTTAATGTCAAGGTATAATTCCTGACAATAGTTGAATGTAACAATCAATTGGTAATCGAGAATTAACCAAGAATGTATTACCCTACTTTGTAGTTATTTAACATGAAGTGCCTCCTTTTTTTAAAAAAGAAAGAATTCAAACTATTCACTTTCCTGAACATATAACGGAAAAGAATCATGATTTTTCAACCTATTTATTCGAGCTAAAAATAATTTTAATGATTATTCAAGTAAAAGTTTAGTGTATTTTGGACAAACGATAAATTTTATTCTACAAAGAATCAAAATATTAATTTGAAATTGTACTTGTTATTATTTGTAAAATAACTTTTGAAGTAATTTATTAATTGAATTCATGAATCGATTAAAGCCAGACACCCATGGAAAACCAGGAAGTACTGGACGGCCATTTCGTCCAAGCATATGGCTCTTCAGAAGTGCTCATCTACGATTCCGTACTCGCGAGATTAGAACGCAGAACCTATCGATCTCGCCTACGAATGCTTAAACTCTAAACTACTGAGTTGGCATCCAACGGTGTCAATGTCTAACTTCAACCAATTCACGAAAAACTTGTTAAGTATTATTCTAAATTCTGTAATCCACATTTAATGTGTTATTGATTAATGCATTTAAATTTGTGACTAAACTCTAAGTTCTTCAAATTATTAATACAATTCTAGTAGTCTATTTGGTCAAATAATTCCATGGACTAAAGTTAATGTAATATTAAAATATTATGTCGGAGTTTTTTTGTTTACTTCCAGGAATTTTGTTGATGCTGAAATGTTTTAGTTGAGAAAATTTTAGAATATATTTCCAGGTTTACTTAGTAGTATGTATTATGTATTCACTCTCAGGGTTTTAATGATTTCATTATTAGTTAAATAAAGAGATGAATATGTTTTCTTTAGTATGAAGACTGTTATCAAGAATTCTTGGAGTTATATTGCCAAACATCAGTCGTATTATATCACTTATGTTTAATATGCACTAAACTAGCTAACGTCTAATTGAATCTACAATTAACCTGTTCTGTTGAAGTGCATGAATCATCTCTTATCTGCGTTAATGCCACTTTATTCATAGATATATAGTTTCCATCAACAAACGTTCTATTAAAAGCAACGTTACGAGGACAGCTTCTTTGGGATATTGAAAACACTACTTAGTGTTCTTATTTGCTTAGTGTAAATCGGTGTGATTCTCTGTTTGAAGTAATCAGTTGTTTAAAATTGAGTGGTTATAATGGTTTTAAACTATAGATTTATACAATACTAGTGAAAATGTGCTTCGGTGATTAAAGCATTCAACTTTGAACCACTAGGTAACATGTTCCGATCTCTACCAAATTTTATCTACCAGCCTGGTTGTGAAAATATTCGAATATATTAACATGTAGGTAGTGGCTCAGGTTAGCTACCCTTTAGTGCTTTGTTATTACCTAATGATGACTGTTATATCCTAACGAAGAATAAATGAATGGTCACGGCTAGGAATTATTAAAGGATTCATATTATATATGTATTCTTATTGTATAACGGTTAGGTAACTGGATTATATATACTTATATTCCTTTTTTCATAAGCTTTTATTTGACTTGCTAACTAATATTATACGATTTACTATTCCTAAGTTATTCCCAATTTATTAGTACAGTCCCTCACAGTCACAGCCACTTTTAGGCCTGATCTTGTATAATTGTTATTTTCTATTTTATGGTATATGATCTGGTTTGCTTGTATTTAAACCCAGTATGTCGGTAAGTTATAATTCATATAGTGGTAGCTGTCATTGATGTTCTAGACTCATCAGAAAGGGCTAC